AAAAACCCCCAAAAAGGTTTTTCTGGGAAAAAATTTCCAAACCCCAAAATCCCCCAATTATTTGTACACCCCCCCCCCCCCAAAATAGGGGTTTTGCCGGGTCCCCCCCTTTTTTTAAAAAAAAAAAAAAAAAAAAAAAAAAACCCAGGTAAAAAAAAAAAACCGGGAAAAAAAATTTTTCCAAACAAAAAAAAAAAAAAGAATAAAGATTCTCTTTAATCTATCATATTTAAAATCTATAGTTTTTTTAAAAATAGTAAATCCTATAGATTATCATTTTAAAAGATAATTTTTTTTTTTTTTTTTAAAAAAAAAAAAAAAAAAAAAAATAATTATCTCATTTAAAACCAAAAAAAAAATAAAAAAACAAATAACACAATTTTAAAAAAAACTTTATATTTATTTGTTTATATTTATTTATTTATTTATTTATTTATTTATTTATTTATTTATTTATTTATTTATTTATTTATTTTTATTTTTCTATATATTATCTTTTTAATCACAAAACAAAAAATAAAAATAATTAATTTCAAAAAAATTTCGATCAGATCTGGGTTTTATTTTTATTTTTGATTTTGATTTTGATTTTGATTTAAATTTTAGTTTTGATTATGATTTGTATTTTTTTTTTTAATTTGGGTGGGTTTTTTTTTTTTTTTTGGAAGGCAAAAAAAAATTAAATCATTTGAATAATCACCCCAATAATATGGAGGTACACGTGTATTTATTAATAAAAATTTGGCTAATAAATTAATAGGTTTATTTGATCAAATTATTTGAAAAACAGCTTTTAAAAAATAAAAATAAAAAAAAAATAAAAAAAAAATAAAATTTTAATTTTTTTTTTTCACCACCATTATTTTTTTCATCAATATAATTTTTTTTTTAATTATTATCATTTATAAAATTATACATAAAACATAAAATGCGTCGTACATTAGCAGGTCCAGGTAGTAGCACAGGTATGATTTATTATTATTTTTATTTCATTTAATGTAATATATTTTGAAATACTAACCATAGTTCTATTATAGGTGATTACAAACCAAAATTAGATCCAGGAAAAGCCATGCCATCATCATCCAGTGGATCACCAGCTGATTTTTACAGCAAATCAAATAAAGATGAACAAAAATAAACAGAAATAAAAATAAATAAATTGTATAGTAATCTAAAATAAATTTAAAGTAAATTATCTTTTTCTATAAAATTAAGAAATGACTTTATAGATTTATTTGTTTCTTTAAAATTTTCATTATTATTATGGTTGTTGCTATTACTATTGTTATTGTTATTGTTGTTTTTAGTTTCTTTTTTAAATTTTTCGAGGGATGCCATAATATAAGATATTTGATATTGGTTTTCTAAAAGATAATGTTGTTAGTTATTTTACTTTTTAATTATATATATTAAAAAAAATAAAAGTTTTTACAATTACCTTTTAATAATATTTTAGAATCTGCAATGCTTATATTATTTGTTGATAATATTAATTTAATTTTATTGGTGTTTGAAAACAAAGAGTTTGCTATATCTTTTTGGGTCTCTAAGAGGGATTCGGTTTCGCCTGAACTATTTTTATTACTATTGTTATCTAAAGATTTTAACATTAGCTCAAAAGTTTCGTTGATACTTTGTGAAAAAAGAAAGTTTATATTAAAATTAAAATATTTTAATTGAAATTTATTTAGTTCATATTTATTCTCGATGTTTGATTTTATGTTCTTTTTAGTATTTGATGTAAAGCCATTAATTGTTGTTTCTATAATAATAAAACTAAAATAATATTAATAGGTTGATAATAAAAAACAATTTAAATATAATAATTATTTTCATTACCATTCTTTATTTAAATTATAATTATAAAATTGAATTAAAAAATTATTTAATAAATCGTTTACATCGATTTCATTTAATGTTTGGATGTCTGTGGGATTTAATACTAAATATGATATAGATCTGTTATCTTTATTAACTTGAAAATGATATGAGATTGTTTTGTTTGATTGTTGTGGTATTAAACTTCTACTATACATATAGTTTACATCAAATAGGTTGTGTAATATTTGAATATATGAAGCACTAAGATTGATTTTATTGACATTTATTTTTATTTTATTTATTTTATTATTCATTCTCTAAATTGGATTGTGTTTTATATAAATAATAGTTTTTTTTTTTATATTTAAAATATTATATATATTTTTTTTATAACCAAAAAAATAATTTTCATATCAATTTCTTTATTTAAACAAAATAAAAAAATTATACGAAATTTTTTTTTTTTAATAAAAAAAATTATAGGGGATTATTTTTTCTTTAATTTAATGAAAGGGCCAGCTCAGCTATCTCTAGCAATCAGATATAAGAAATAACCCGAAGATCGTTTCATCTGCTGCCTAGCAATAGGTCTCTATATATACATCAGCGCTGGAATAAACATATACTAAATTTTGTTTATGGCCAACACATTGCTGTGAATGACAAATTATTAAGAAAATTTCGGTTGATAGAAAAGTATTCGGTTTTTATTTGATCATTATGGGATTTTTATTTTTATTCAAAATTTGTAAAAACCATTTTAAAAAAAAAAAAAAAAAAAAAAAAAAAATATTTTTTAAATTATTTCGTTTTTTAAATTCAATTATCTTTGAAAATTTAAATCCCTCTTTTTAATATTAATATTTTTTTTAGAAATTTTACAAATAAGTTAAAAAATATATTTTTGTTTATTTTAAATTCATCTTATGGATTAATTAATTTAATTATTTTAAAAAAAAAAAAAAATAAATAAAATAAATAAAATTATTTAAATAAATTTTATTATTATTATTACTAAATATACATTTATAATTTATTTTAAATATATACACAAAAAAATAAAAAATAAAAAATAAAATAAAAAAAATAAAAAAATAAAATTTTTTTTTTTTTTTTTTTTTTTTTAAAATTTATAAAAATTTATAAAAATCTTTTTTTTTTGTTAAATTTTATAATACATAATAAATAGTTTTAAATATTATCAGCATTTATGAAATAATAAACAAGCAGCAAAGAATCATATTTATAATAAACAAATAATAGTTTTAGGTTGTTTTGCCCATTTTTTTTTTTAAAATTTAAATTGTATTATTAATTAGTAAAACCCAAATATATATAAATAAAATTCAACATTATAAAACCAATGAACTTTAATAATATACAGATATAATCATGGATCTATATTGTCAAAAATGTTGTAAACAATTAGAATTAGATGATAGTTTATTAGACATTGATACAAGTATATTTTTTAATCAAGGTATGTAACGATTATAACGAAAATAATAATGGTGGTATATTATTGTTTATTAACATTTTTTTATTTATTTAGACCTAAGTAGTATAGCTAAACAAATTGAACCATTTACATTCACCTTACCAAAAGAAAGAGAAATTGAAATTTTTAAACAGCAAAAAGAACAACAAAGAGAATTAGAATTAGCAGCATTACAGTCACCATCACAACAACAAAAAGAACAGAATTCATCAAAAATATTTAAAGTTTTTTCAAAGAAAAGGGATTCACAAATATCAGCATCAGTGCCATCATCAACAAATTTATCAAATTCAACTACTATACCAACAGCAGCAGCAGCAACGACGACAACAGTAGCTACAAATGCAACACCATCAAATATTTCAAATTCACCAACATCAACACCAACTAGTCCAATAGGTGTTAAAGTAAATGCAACCAATTCAGATGATAAGAAAGCATTTAAAACATTTTATCCATCAACTCATAGTAGTAATAGTGAGCACTCTGGTGGTTCACCATCATCTCCTTCAACATTTGGTTCACTTTCACATCACCGTATTTCTGCATCACTTTCATCTAGATCACTCCAAAACAATGGTATAGCTTCTTCTTCACCACCAAAATCATCAACAACACCAACAAATAATACAATTAGTGATAATACAGGAAAAACACCACCAACATCATCATCACCATCATTATCAAATAGTACTAGTAAATCAATATCGTCATCACCAAATAGAATTACTTCACCAATAATTAATAATAGATCATCATCAAATATTACATCTCCAAAGCCATCAACACCAAAACAAAGACCAACAACCATGACACCAAATAAAATTAACATAACACAAGTTACAAGCCCACAAAAACCAAAATTAAAATACCTTAGATCAAGTTCAAAATCACTTAGCATGGCATCATTACCAAATCTTCCTTCAGATGATTTAAATAATAATAATAATAATAATAATGAAAATAATTATTTATCACAATCAACAATCCCAATAGGATCTCCAATCCAAACTACCCCTCCATTAGCAGGTACAACTACAAGCAACTCATTACCAAATAATCAGCTTATCAATAATATGAACATTAGTGTTAATAATTTAAATATTAGCACAAATTCGACTATATCAAATAGTAATAATTTAAATAATAGTTTAGCTGGTAATCAAAATAATTATTTAAAATATATGAAGGGGTCACAATTATTTAAAATCACAACAGAGTTAATTCATTATGATTTACCATTGTGTTTAGAATGTACAAAGCTTACAATATCGGAAATAGAGGATGAAACTTTAATGCTCGATGGGGAGATTTCAATTTATAATACTTACTTACAAAGATTAGAGAACCAGAAAACAAATGAACAAATTGAGCAGATAAATGGCGAACTTGACGAGTTGGAGTGCGAAGAACATAATTTAAGACAGTTTATTCAAGACACATACAAGGAAAGAGAGGATGTTGAAATATTAACAAACCAATTACAAGAAAAACGATCACAATTAAAATCACTAGAAGATGGTTATTGGAGTTCATTTAGTGAGCTTCATTATGAAGCATTCAAGAATCAAGATGAAAGAGAACAAACTGCAGTACAGATTCAATGGATTAATGAACATTTAGAAAGTTTAAAGCAAACAAATATATTAAACGATGCATTTCATTTATGGCATGATGGTCATTTTGGAACCATTAATTCATTACGTTTAGGTAAACTTCCAAGCCAACCAGTAGAATGGAATGAAATTAATGCTGCATGGGGTTTAACAATATTTTTACTCGATAATATAGCAAAGAAATTAAAATATAAGTTTAAACAATATACATTGGTACCAAATGGTAGTTGCTCGAGAATTGAAAAGAGAGATGATCCATCAGCCGCTTCTTATGAACTGTTTGGTTCAAATGACATCAGCTTGGGTCTTTTATTCTGGTATAGACGTTTCGATAGTGGTATGATAGCATTCCTCCATTGTATCAAAGAGTTGGTAGAATTTATTGTTGAAAAAGAACCAGAATTCACTATACCATACCAAATCGAAAAAGATTTAATTAATGGCACTTCAATTAAAATGCAATTTACAAATGATGATACCTGGACAAAATCTTTAAAATATATGTTAACTAATTTAAAATGGATTTTGGTTTGGGTCACAAAATACGAATCACAATTATCGCATAATAATTACCAAAAAAATCAACAAAAAATTAATCAATCAAACCAACCACAACCACAACCACCACCACAACAACAACAAAATAGTGTAAATAAAAAATAATTCATTATTTCGAAATAGAAATTTTTTTTAATAATAATTATTATTTTTTTTATAAATACTAAAATGATGTAACAATAAATAAAATATTTATTTAAAAGTAATGATAGTTTTAAATACTATTCGTTAAATTTAGAGAAAAAGATATAATAAATAATTTTTGTGCATAAAATATTTTAAAAAACTTTGTTTTATAATTTTTATTTTGTAGATTTTCTTCTTTGTGATTTATTTTCGACAACTAATCTATCTGGTGCTACTCTTGCACGGGTTTGGTTTTTTGGTGGTGAAAACACTATTAACTTTCCTCTTTTTGATGGGGTTTTTGATGTTTTTTTATCTACCTCAACAAGTGTTTTTGGAGCTTCGAGTTTTAATGGTGATTGTGGTTCGATATCGATTTCATCATCTTCAAAATCAAATGATTGATCTGGGTATTGATATTTAACTATTTGTTTTTTACTTGGTGTTGGTGTTTGGTTTTTTCCATTTGGTGATTTAATTGGTGTTTTATTTGGTGTTTTATTTGGTGTTTTATTTGATTTTTTGTTGGGCGATTTAATTGGTGTTTTATTTGGTGATTTAACCTAAATAATTATAAGAAAATAAAATAATTATATTAGTACTTGTGATTAACCTTGCCTTTGATTTTAATTTTTATTTACTTTATAACTAACTATTTGTTTTTCATTTGATTTTTTATTTCTTTTAAAAATTAAAGAGATTAAGAAGGGTAATACTATTATAACAAATACTGCAATACCAATAATAGTATGATCATGATATTGCTTTGGAATGTTTTCAAAAAATTTGGATGATTTTATTAAAATTTGAACTTCTTTCCCTTTTTCTAATATTATATCTGTATATTCTGAATATTTATCCATTTTAAAATTATATATTTATATATGAAGGATATTTTTTATGGTACACAAAAACAAAACTATATCATACAAATTATTAAAAAAATAATTATAAAAAAAAAAGTATTTATATTTTAAAGAGATAAATATAGATATTGATATGGGTATAGATATAAATAAAGATATATAAAGAATGGGCGGTTGAAAATAAAAAAAAAAAATAAAAAAAAAAAAAGTTCAAAAAAAAAAAAAAAAATTTTAAAAAAAACTTGGCGCCAAGTTTATATGATTATATATTAATGAAATATAAATAAATATAATTTTAAATAAATAGATTAAGTAAAATAATAAAAGTGAAATTATATTAATAAATAATTATGTTTTTTTATTATGCATTAAAATAAATGGGCTTTCTTTTTGAGATCATCACGTCTCCAATGGGGCAGTTTTGAAAAAGAGTCGGGATTCATTTTGAATATTTCTAAAAAGTCGTTTTCTTTTAGATACTTTTCTAAATTTTTCAAATCTAGTTTTAATTTTTCTTTTGATAGCATAATTTCTTTATAACTGAGTTTTTCGTTAAAATCTCTATATTTTGGTTTTAAATCCTCTAGTTCTTTTAGCTTTTGTTGTTTTTCTTTTAATATTTTTTCATTACGTTTCTTTTCTTCTGATATTTTCTTCCATTCCTCAGTTGTACCTACTGGATATTGAATTGGTTTTAAAATATCGGTCGTATTGGATTTGAGTTCACCAACAATCGGTAGTGAGTGTAATGATAAACGAACCAATTTAAATAGTGGGCATTTGTTTTTAACTATATCTATTGAATGCTGTGTAATTGATTTACAATCTTTTAATGATAATGATTGGAGGTGCACTTGATTGTTAGCTAAAGATTTAATACTAGTATCTGTAATCATTTGACAACCAGATACATCTAAAGATTTAATGGATATTAAATTTTCTGAAATATATACTAGGGCTGCATCTGTTAAATTACCACATCCAGACATTATAAGGGTTTCTAACTTTGTTAGATATTTACCTATTAAAAAGAATGTTTTAGTTGTTAAACGTAAACATGATGAGATGTCAAGGTGCTTAAGCTTGAAAAGATTTTTACAGATATCAACCATAGGGGTATCTAAAACCCTATAGTTATCGCTTATATCTAGGTTTTCTAAATGAACCAAGTTTTTTATAGTTTGGAATGATGAATCTGTTAATTGGAAACAGCCTTTAAGTGATAGCGACGTCAAATTGGTTAATGATAATGATATTATAGCAAGAGAGTGATGATAGATTTGAGATTTCATAAGAGAGAGGGTCTTTAAACTTGGTATTTTAAATTCAAAACCATCAGATTTGATTTTAACACATGAATCTAAACGTAGGTGTTGTAGGTTTGGGAACGATTCATTAATAACCTTTATAGTTTCTTCAGAGACTGTTTGGTTTTCTGAAAAATTGATTGCTATTAATTTTGGTGTACATTTCTTTAATAGATTGATTAATGACTCTTCGACGATTTGTGGACAAATTGATAGATCTATTCTTTCCAACGTATCACCTAGATGCTCAGCAATTAAATCTGCAGAGTAGCTTGTAAGGGTATGGCAACGTGATAGTTTTAAATCTTTTATCTTTTTACATTTTTCGACTATAGTTTGTACACCTTCATCTGTTAAAAACTTTAAACCTTTTAATGATAGTTTCCATAGGTTTGGCATTATTGAAGCTATTGATTTAGCAGATTTATCAGTTAGATTATAACATGCCTCTAAAATTAACTGTTCTAAATTTAAGCATTCTGGTAAATTAAAAAATACATTATCTGATAGTTTTGAGCAACCTGATAAATCTAAAATTTTTAAAGTTTGCCATGATTGAAATTGTTGGAATGCATCATCTGATAATTTTGCTGGATTTTTAATTATTAGTTCTTGAATTTGTTTATTATTTAATACTAAATTTGATGTAGTAGTTGTTGTTGTGGTGTTTGTAAAATTGGATGTTATTAATGAATTGTTATTACTATTACTAATTGTTGAGGTAGATATTATTTGTTGTTGAATATTTGTTATATTTTGATGTTGATTAAATGATAAAATTGTGTTATTGGTAATTTTACATCTTGAAACATTAATTATTTTTAATTTTTGAATGTGTGATAATAGCGAAAGAGCTTCGGGATTTATAAAAAAACAATTTTGAATATCTAGTTTTTGAATTTGTTGACAGAAATTTGAAAGGATAGAAATTGTTTTATCTGAAATTAATGTATCTGCTAAAATGAGAGTTGTTAAATGTTTACCATAGGTTGATAAAAATTCAGAGGCACCATAATCGCTAACTAATGGACAACCTGATATATCTAATTCTTGTAATTGATTACCAAAAATTTCGCCAATTGTATTTAAATCTTGATCAGATATTAGGGTACGATGTAGATTTAGTTTTAATACTTTTTTTTTTTGTATGGCTTGGGTTAATTTTGCCTTAATAATTGACGAATGTGTTGAGATTTTTATAAAGTCGGTTATTTCATTTTGTTGATTTTCGATGGCATTCTCTAATTTATTATAAATAAAATTATTGTTGCTTTGAAATAAACCTTCAAACACAATTCTGGTTTCAATTAAATAAATATTTTGTTGATTTTGGATTGGTAGTTGGTATGATGATGGTGATGAGGGTAAGGATGGTAATGGTGGTGAGGAAAGAGGTGAAGAAAGAGGTAGTGGTGGAGGGGTTGGAGGTGGTGATGGTGGTATATCGGTATTGATAAGAGAGTTTTCTTTGTTTTGCAAAAAGAGACTTGAATTTTCCATCTTTAGAATTTCTAATAGTGATTCGACATACATTGAATAAACTGTATCATCTCTATAAAAATTTTCACGTACTAATAAACCTAAAATATTTGATGCTGGGTAGTATAGCTTTCTGTTACCAGTTTTACTTTTTAACCAAATATCTACGGCAATTTCAAAAACAATACTCTTTAATGATGAGTTTAATAGAAGAGCTTGATGAAATTTCATAGTTGCATCTTGATAATAATTGTTTTTATTACTTTGGTGGAACTGTTGATCTAATCTATTTTTTTTACCAATGGGAGTATTGATATCATCATAGTAAGGTCTATAAATGAATGATTTACCAATTAAAATTAAAAGATTTGGATATTGTTTAAACTTATCTTCCAGTTCTTGAGATACAATTGAAACACCAACAATATAGTTTGCTGAACCTTGTAAACCTAAAAGAAAAGAATTTTCGAGACCGTTGAGTATATAGAATTCGACAAGTTCTTCATTTTCTTCATTTTCGTCATCAGAATTTTGTTTGGCTATTATATCTTTTGGATCAAATTTATAATTTTGGAAACTATTGTTTGTAGAGTCATCAGATTTATTATATTTTTTTCGGAAACATTCAATAGCTCTTCTGTAGTGAATTGACGCCATTTTATAAAGTTTTGAGGATTTGTATAAATTGTTTTGGTGATAGTGAGCCATTAAAGAATAAACTCTACCAAGTTTATAATGTGCTAATATAAAAGTATTGGAAATTGAAACTGCATCTAAAAATTTGGCTGCTGCATCTTCTAAAGTTTTTACATAAATATTTCTACCAAACATACCTGTAACTTTGGCAATTGTCTTAGCTTCTACTGTTAAGTTTCTACCCAATTGATAAATGCACTCAATGTTGTCAGGATTTGATTTTAGAGATACTTGAAATTTCAAAGATGACATTTTTAATAATCTAAGACTGTTTTCTTTTTGTTTAGCAGCGATGGAAAGTGCTCTACCTTCAGCATAGTCTATGATGTTCATATGTTTAATATTGGCATGAATATCTAAAATATCGGAATCAACCAATTGAAATTTAATATGATTTCTTGATAATTCTGATTGAGCAGCAGGTGTAAATGAAATACCAGCTAATAATTGTAATCTATCTAATAAATTTTTAATATTTACACAATCCATCCAACCTTCTTCAATTTCTTCTTTATATGGTGGTTTAAATGATGATGTTGATGAGGTTTTTAATGAACTATTTGAATATGAAGATGTTGTTGATGGTGTTGATACATTGTCAATCGAGTTGTTATTTAAATTATTATTGTTATTTAAATTTAATGGGTTATTATTTATACTGTTATTTATTTCTTCGTCATCTTCTTTCATAAACGCCATATAATATTTTGATCTTATAATATTTAAAACTCTGCTCCATATTTCTTGATCTTTTTGTAAAATTTTATTAAAAATTTCAATAATAATTTCTTTAAAAGGTTCTTCAGATAAACCTTGTTCTTCTTTCATTTTTAAACGCATTTCATCACGTATGATAGTTTTAATTGATCTAGCGGTCATTTCTAGTAATAATAAATCTCTAATATTTTTTGATTTTGTATAAAATCTAACCCTTCCCATGTGTCTAATATTAATACCACTTCTATGCATTTCTTCAATTATTCTTAATAGTTGCTGTGGTACTTCATTTTTTACATGATTTAGTGGTCTGGTTGCATATTTTGGTTGTTGGTTTGGTTGGTTTGGTTGTTGTGGTTGTTGTTGCTGTTGTTGTTGTGATAATGACTGTTGCTGTTGTTGTTGTAAAACTTGAATCAATGGACTTGTGTTATTATTATTTATATCATTATTGCTAGTAACTGTTTGAATAGATTGTGATGATGATGAATTGGAATCCAGTGATGTTAAGAGATTACTATAGTTAACAGATGATTCATAATCAGATATTGTATTTGGATTATCTAACAAACTATTTGATTGGTCTTCAAATCTTTTTTGGAGGATTGGAATAAATTTAACGGCAAAACTTTGTTTTATTTGATTAAAATCTGAAGGAGTTTCTTCTTTAACTACAGTTGATGATACGGCAGAGATTTGTTTAATATCAGCATTTAGTTTTTTCATAATACCGCTTCTTTCTTGATCAAATTTCTGGGCCAATTGTTTTACCAAATCATTTACTAAATAGTTTGTAGCTTCTTCAACTTCTTTATTGTGAGTTAGTTTATTTGGATCATTTCTTTGCCACCCAGAAAATGAGTCACTACATAAAGGTACTTTCCATTTTGATACAAATTCTGGCCTTAATAAATTATAGAAAATACATCTCTTGTTCACATTGGGTTGTTTAATAATTGATTCTGGGGGAAAAGTTCTACTAAAGTCTATAACATAATATCTGTTATCCTATAAAGTTAATATTGTTTAAAAAGGGGGGAAAGTTAATATTTAATTAATTAATATTAAAATAAAAAGTTTATAAACTTACTTCGCCTAAATGACCTTCTATATCTCCGGGGCTTGTTAATTCTTTTGTAAAGCCAGAAACAGAGCCAACGTGATGTGCTTTTAAATTTAATTTTTTACCAGCTTCTTTCATTTTTTCATTTAGATCTGGGATATTTGAATGAACTATTGAACCACTATCAGAAGAGCCATACTTTATAGTTTCGTTTGAAATCGGTAAGACGGATAAAGCAATTAATCTGAATCCTTTATAATCTATTAACGCCATCAATGGATAGTTTAAACCTTTGACACCAGCCATATAGTAACTTATTAAACCTTTAAGTTCATTTGATGCAGCCTTGGCAGCATAGTCATCTCTTGCATTGTCACCACCATACATCCAGCAGTCATTGTTTAGCATTGTGTCCATTGCAAATTTAAACAAAATACCTTGGCAATGATACTTTAAACCACCTGCGAAACCACCAACATCAACTGGTTTGATAGTCTTTAATTCTAATGGTACACATAATTCATTTATGATAATAGTTGCATATGATTTAGCTGTAAATACAAAATCTTTGGCTAAATGCGACAGTTTTCTAAATTTTTGTTCGCTGTTGGGTTGTTGTAATAAATTTTGAAACTCACCATTCCAGTCTTTACTTTTAAATTCTTTTGTACAATATCTATTTAATTGTGATATTAAATTGGATGAGTTTAAATGTAATTGATCTTGTGGTATATTTTTTGGTGATTTTTGTTGTTCTCGTAGATTATTTTTTTTTTTTATTGGTGATTTTCCTTTTCCCTCTTCATTTGGTGGTGAATAAATATCTGGGGTATAGTTTATAACTTTATTGTTTTTCTCTTCACCATCAGTTATATAGTGATCATCTTCATCAAATTCTTCCTCAGTACTAATATCCTCTTCATTTTCTGAAGCATCCTCGTATATTTCATCTTGATAACTACTAATTGGTTGTGGTAATGATTCTTCTTGATAACTGATTGGTTCTTTTTTATTATTATTTATATTACTATATGAACCAATTTGAACTTCTCTATGTTGTAAATTGTTATTTTTTATTTTAGGTTCATTTGACAAATTTAATAAATTTGGTTCTAAATATCCATTATTATTATTATTATTATTATTATTTATATTATTATCTATATTATTATTTACATTATTATAATTTACAGTTGTTTTATTTATTTTTTTAATATTATTTTTACTATTACTTGAGGTATTTAAATCTTCGAAATATGAATAAATATCATAAATATAAACTTTATTTTTAATCATCTTTAAAAAAAAATTATTTTAAAAATTTTAATTTTTAATTTATATTTGTATTTTAAAATTATTCTATATTTTAATTGGTAAAACTATTATTATTGTTATTTAATTATACATTTAATATTATTTATTTGAAAAATATATTTATAAACTATGAGATGGTTATGTATGAAAAAAAAATAAAAATAAAAATAAAAATAAAAATAAAAATAAAAATAAAAATAAAAATAAATTTTTAATTAAAAAAAATAAAATTAAAATTTTTTCCAATTTTTTTTTTTTTTTTAAATTAAAACCCACAAATAATGTGTTTAATTTCTTTATTGGAAATCGATTGATTTAATCAATTTTTAAAATAAATTATGATGAATAATAATAATATAAACAATAAAATGAAGGATAATATAGTAGTAATTAAATTTGGTGGTGCATACATTACCAAAAAGAGTCAATTAAGAACTATAAATAAAGAGAATTTAGATAATTTAATTTATATAGTAACCAATCTTTCAAAAATTCATAAAAAAAAAGTTATACTTATACACGGTGCAGGTTCATTTGGCCACTCTGAAGCAAAGCAATATAATGTTCATCTCGGAGATCCAACACCATTGCAATCTATAAATAGTGAAGCTATTTCATCATTAACAGAAGGAATGTTAAAAACCAGAGAATCTGTAACTTTTTTACTAGGTATTTATTTAAAGCTATAATATTTCTAAAAACAAAAATAAAAAAATTAATTAATTTAAATTTTATTTTATTTTTATATATTTATTTTATACTTTACAGAAATAGTAAAATCAGAATTAGTTAAACATGGATTAAATGTTTTTACAATGTCTCCATTCTCATCATGGAAAACAAAAAACAATGGTAAAACTGTAGTAACTCATAATATAGATAATATTAAATTTTTACTTGACAATTTTCCAACTGCCATACCAATTTTACATGGAGATGTTTGCTTGTATGTATTTTTTTTTTGTTTTATATAAATATTAATAATCAAACTGACTAATAATAATTTTTTTAAAACTAAAGAGATGAGGATTCTAAATGTTCAATATTAAGTGGTGATGTAATTATAAAAGAGATTTGTTTCAATTTAAAAGTCCAAAAATGTATTTTTGTAACTGATGTATATGGGGTTTATGATAGTTCACCAAGCAACCCAAATTCTAAACTAATAAATTTTTTACAAGTTTCAAATATTAATAATAATAATACTACCAATCATAATAATAATAATAATAATAATAACAATATAGATACAAACATTAATAACATAAATGATGATGTTACAGGTGGAATGAAGGCAAAATTAGAATCTGCTTTTGAAATCGCAAAAAAAAATATATGGACTTTAATTATAGGTGGTGATTATAGCAAACAAGAAATTCTAGAAACTATTTTAAATGATGATTTAATTCGTCACTTAAACTCAAACCAAGAATCAAAAGGTACACTTTTATATTGCTAATAGTATAATAGAAAAATAAAAAAAAAAAAAAATATTTAATTGTGAACAACACTAATAAAAGATAAATTTAAAATAATTCTAATCATAATAATAAATAATAATAATTGATAATAAATAGTTATAATAGTATAATAATAAATTAATAATAATAATTATAGATCCAATTATTTTAATAAATTTCAAATTAGGTGAACTTTTGTTAAAAAGAGAAAATCATCAAAAATCTTCATTATATTTAGAGAGTGTGGGCAAATTTTATACGTTATAAATATTTATATATTCATATTTATTTTTATTGTTATTATTATTCATAAAATTATTTTATACCATTCAGACTACAATAATAATCATCAACATACAAACACACACACACACACACACACACACAACACTCACTCGCACTATCACAAACTAATAATACAACACAATAAACTCACAAACTTTCAAACACAGAGTTTAATTCTTTCTCGCTACTTAAATAGGACAAAATCTCTCATTTTTTTAAATTGTTTTCTTTTCCTTTTTTGTTTTATTTTGTTTTATTTTTTTTATAATAAATAAATATATATATTATAACATTAATATGTAGGTGTTATATTATAATTAATTATCAAAATCCAACACAAACAATTGGATGAAAAAAAAAAAAAAATTTATGTTTAATAATAGTAATAAAAATATAATTTTTTTATGATCGAAGATATATCAATACAAAAATAGAATAAAATTTGTTTTTTT